AATACATTGTAATTATTAGTTGATCCAATATCTCCAATCCTTTACTCTGAAGATAAGGAGAATGTTCTTACCAAATTCAAACTCTATGGCTTTAATGACCTGCACCCTGAAGAAGAAACGTTAGTTTCTTCAGTCTTGCTGACAAGACATCAAAGATGTTGCTTTTGTCTATTTCCTTGAAGAGATACCACTTTATCCCCAGTATTCCACCCCTGTCAATTCATTTTCCTATTTTCTACCAACACTTGGAGGACCTTGCATGTTACTTTTTCTTCTGATTGCCCTTGCCTCCATTGCCCACTTATAAATTCATGTTCAGAGCTCAGTTAAGAGGTTGTATCTTCTGCAAAGCCTTCCTAATAGCCCCTCACAGAAAATGTGTTGCAAAAAACCTTTGATCTTATAGAGCACTTTATTGTTGGTTTATTCTTGTCTATTTCCAACCTGATCTCTGACCACGCAGCATAGGTTCTTGTCCTTGTTCCCAGTTGACTCCAAGGCCAGGCACACTGAGTAACACATGAAAGTCTATGGTTCAGATATACTGTACTAGACACACCACAGAGCCTCTCATCAGGACCAAAGGGCAGAGACACATTGGAAAGAGTCCTGGCCCATAGTTGCGGTTATCTTTGTGTTGCTAAAAATCTCCCATAAGAATTCATTCCAAGGGGCCTAGAGATAGGACAGTGGGCAGGGTGCTTTCCTTGCAATGCAGCTGACCTGGATTTGATCCCTGGTACTCCATATGGTTCTCTGAACCCCAAAAGTACTGCTTCCTGAGTGGAGTCAGGAATATATCCTGAGCACCAATGAGTGTGCCACCTCCCACTGCTAAAAAAAAATAAATAGAAAATAAAATAAAATTGTTTCTCAGATTGGTGTGTATACAATTTTGTTTTCTTTTTATTTCATGTTTAAATAGAAACATTTGACATTGTTGAGCATCCAATATCTGAGAAAATAATTTAATATTACAGACAAGCTCTAAATATCCACTCAACTTTCCCAGGAAAAGCATGCTTCATCTACAAAGGTAGATAAGAATTTAAATCAAGATCTTTGGGAAATAACAGAACAGTATAGATTCTTCCTGACGTCATATAAATATTAGACTGAAACGAAAAAGTGATAACTTTGGGGATATGTAACAATGTCCTTAGTTCCAGCATTATTTTGCCCATTCTAAAGTTTTAGATTAGGGAAAATTGTGAAGGAAAAAAATGCTATAGGAATATAGTTCAATAAAATGTATGTTTGAGATTAGAGATATGCTTGAGCAAAAAGGCAGTCTCAATGTTACAAAACTAATCATGATGAGAACTTAGATTGATATACATAAATACTATAATAAGTTAAAGGAGGCCACTGAAATCACCCAGGACATTTATAGAAGAAGAAACTGATGCATGAGGGTGAAAAAGCAAGGTCAGTAGATCCAGAATAATGTCAGAGCTGGAGTGAGAATACAGTTTTCAAATCTAACAAATTTAATTTTTAACTTATTTTTCTCCCTCTCCTCCACTTTCCTCTTCCTCTCTTCTCTCTCCCTCCTTTCCTTCCTTTCTATTGTCCTCCCATCTCTCTCTTTCTCTGCACATACAAGCATACATAAATATGAATGTAGGTGAAACAGAAAAATATAATGCACTGGGACATTTCATAAAATTCTGAAACCAGTCATTTACAATTATATGGATCATTTGAAAGCTACAAACAACATTAAGTTCCAGGCATTACTTTTTTGAAACAATATAGCTGTCATTGGTCATTGTAAATAGGTGTAGTTAAGGAAACTAGTTAGGAGGTAAATGTTCTACCAAAGATCACTCAGGACTGGTATATTCAAAAGTAGGATTTATAGCCTATCTTTTCTGATGCAGTGTAGACTTAGGACTGTTGCTCATTTTCCAGAAGCAAAGGATTGGTGGGGGGAGTAGGGAATTTACTATTGAGTATTTTATATTTATCAAATGCTTTTGGTTCACAGTATTCATTTATTCCAAGCATCCAGGATATATATATACTACTATTTTATATAAAATATCTGATATATTTTACAAATGAGTGACTGAGCCCAAGAAAATCAAATTTCTGCTGCTTCCCCCCTTAGAACTAGAATTCAAATATAGTTTTCCTTCATAAAGTGTCTGTACTTTTTCATTATATTAAGAATAAAATTTGAGGAAGATAAATACATTTCGATTTAAAATATGCTATAGACTTTCATCATACACACATTCATTAACATATTACAGTTATTCTAAAGTGCCCACTTAAAAAAGATGAACATTCTTAAGACAAAATATGTGTCTCTGTTCTCCTTCACTCTGCTCCAATGTGCTTCTTCTAAATAATGGACAACGAATCTGTGAGTAGCCTTAAGTCTTGCTGCATACATCGAGATAGTGAGGGAAATAGAGTCTCTGTGGCAGCCTCTTCCTGTGCATGTGTCAGATATGGCTGCATCATTCCTTCAACAACTACTCGCCATGGTAATCACTACGCTGGGACCACAAGATTGGAGAAAAGAGCAAGTTCTTGCCTTCAAGAAATATTGAAACTACAAGTGGAAGCAGAAATATGTGTAGAAGTGATCATTTGACGTAACACAGCTTGTATGACACAAGTGTCAAATGCTATTAAGACCTAAGAGTGAGAGTCTAGGAACATGGGTTAAGGAACATTTTTAATCTGAGTTAAAAAGGGAAGAGGAATGTATGATGTAAATGCTAGAGACACTAGTATGAGAAAAGTCAGGTATATTAAAAAAAAACAGTAAACAGTATAAGGCAAGCATTTTGTTTTGTTTTGTTTTAGAAATAGGAACTCCTGCCAATTTCTTTTGAGATATCATGATAATTCATTTGGGCTGTAAATATTCAGGACAAATATTTGGCAAACATCCTGCATTATTAAGAAGCAAGATATATGCAGGTGAATATTGCCCATAATGAGCTCACAATGTGTCCAAAGCAATGCAGCTAACAAACACTTAAATTAGTTCCATTATGTGAAAATTCTTGTTTACACTATAAAATGCAAAATTCAACACTGTTGAACAAAACTTAATTTTCCCAAACTAGATACTACTGTGTTTAATGGCATGGTCCTTCACCTTCAATTATAATCAGCAAGAATGGATGACATTTTCTGTTTACCCCCATAAAGCCTTCCTTGTATTTACCTGAGTGCGTCTTAGACCAGGTTACAGTGTTTTAATTGTGAGTCACAGACCAATATTTATATTGCATTTTCATAGCCTATGCTTTTTAATGATTTGCTAATTAGAGAAGATGTATTTCATTAAAAAATGATAATTTTATTTTCATGGCATACTAGGGTCTTTTGTTTCTATTTTGCAGTGCAACTTATAGAACCCAGGTCTTCCCATGGAAGGCAAGTACTCTATGACTGAACTATATTACAAGCACCATGCTACATTTCTAAAAATACTTCCCCACCCAACCTTTAGATAACCCCACTCTATTGTCACAAGATCCTGGTATGGTGCAAGAACTACAGGCATTCCATTCTACAGATGAGAAAAGGGAGTTTCATAAAATTGAATCAATTCAAGGTCACACCACCGTGTAAGTATATGATAAAATAAAAGCTTAAATTTGTTTTCTTACTCCCAATTCAAGCCTTCTTTTCTCCACCCATTACCATCTGCATGGAATACAATAATATCATCCTCATTATGACACAAATCCCAGATGAAATGCTGGTCAAATCACATTCCCTCAGGCAACATAAATACAGCATAAATTAAAAGCCCAATTAAATAAAATAGCCTTTTAACTGGGACTTACTATTGTCCCCTGAGGTCAGGGTAAGAGACAGCCCTTCAAAAGTCAATGGCTTCCTATCCTGGAAATTATCCAGAGACCCACTTACCCACATGCAAAAGCCTTCAGAACCAAATTATTCACATAACTTTATCTTATTTCCTTATGCCCTCCCAGAGCCCTGGCTCCCACTCAACTGGGAACTGGGTTTGGAACCATGCCCCAGTCTCTGTACCTCCGGCCTGCAAACTTGATTTTCAGAGTATCACTCCGTGTGCACAGCCTGAGTGCCTTATAGCTCTTATGATGGCAAATAATGCCTCACAGTTCAAACAAATGATTCAAAACAAAATTATCTAGTTATCTCAAATTGGGATTCTTTGCTAGTAAATAGGGCCATTGTGATGACCAAGAGGATACAAGGTGTCACACTTGATAGAGCCCTGTTTTGCTCACAGAGCAGAGTAGGGGGATAGATAGTTGGTGATGAGACATTCTTGACTACACGTTTTTAATTTTTTAATCTATTCCTACCACCCTCCCCAGTAGCCAAGAACAACAATATCATAAACTCCACAGATACTACTGGCTCTCCAAATGTTAATAACTACCATAACCATATTACCCTTATTCCAACACGCCCCCCCCCCCTTTTAGTTGTCAGATCAGAGCCAGACTTAAGAGATCAAGAGCTGTTGTGGGCTCTGGTTCCTTCCCATGTTGTAGCTCAGCTGCAGTACTACCCCCCCCCCCCCCCGCCCCATTCCCAGCCAAGTCACAAGAATGGGTCTCTAGGTCAGCCTGGGTCACAGGCAAATGGTTACGGCGGTCCTGCTCACCCCGACACAGTCTTCTCACCAACCTGCCTGGGTTTACTTCCTCAGAGGACCGAACTGCACAAGGATCTGGACGTGCTCTATCAGCTTCCTTCTGGGACTTCTGCAAAGACCACCTTGTTGACCCAGTATCTTCCCACCAATTCCATCATAACTCCCCTCTCTCTTGCCCTCTCAAGAGCTACCGAAATGTGCCAAGAGCCCAGAGGGCGTAGAGATTGGGGGAACCCAAGGAGAAAACCCCATTCCGTGGCGGAATCCCTGTTAAGTAATAGAAAGCTATCCAACTACCAAGCCCGCGTCCTGGCTTCCAAAAACACGTCACCGTCACCCAGGAGTTTTGCAGCTGCCAACCCCGAGTTCTCTTTCCTACCTGTCTGTCACTGCAGGGCTCCCCTCTTTCACCTCTTGGGTACACAGCTCCTGGGTTCCTGGCTTTCCTCTCCTTCTCTGGCCGCTGACACTTCCAGCAGCGGTGGGCGGACCTCGGAGTCCGGGCACCTGCAAGCTGGCTCTCAGGTCCCTTCAGCGATGAAGCCTGGAGGAGGAGCGAGAGGGTGCTGCCCTCACCGCCGCCGCCGCCGCCGCCGCCGCGGTACTGATGAGGTTGCTATGGTTATGGGACTCCGCAGCTGCCCCCCTCTCCGCGCAACAGCTGCCCCGCCGCGGCCTCCGGGCAGCCCCGGTAAGCGGGCGCCAGGAGGCAAGGTGGCAAAGGCGGTCCCGGGAATCGGCCGCCAGCACCGTGTGCCCGCGCGCCGGCCTCGAGGCTCGCGTTCCCGGAGCACCGCTCACCTCTGCGCCCTTGCTCCTCCTGCCCGCGCCGGGACGCGGAGAGCCCGCCCCGCCGCCCGCGGCTGGCCCGGCGCCCGCACCACTGCGCAGCGCCCAGCGGCTGCGCGGCCGGCTGCGGGGCGCGGCGCACGCTCGCCGACCGCGGGGCCTCTGCGGGGCTGCTCGGAGCCCGAGCGCGGCGCTGGACGCGCTGATCCAAGGCCGGAGCCCGCCCCCGCGCGCCCGCCAGCCGGTGGAGGGCGCCGGCTGCTGGACCCCTCCAGCCTCGCCAGCGGGCCGGGCCGCGAGCATGCTCAGTCCCCACCCCGCCGCGGAGTTCCCATCCCAAACTGACTGCAAGACTGGGGTTCAGGGGGAGAGAAGAGGTTTTTCATCCAGATTCCCAGGAGAATCCGGACAGGGGACTGCGGACCTGGGGGAGGAACCTTGCAAGAGGCCCCAGGGACATCCAAACCTTGCATGACCCCAGTAAAAGCAACAGTGGCGTCGACCAAGCAACTAGCCCAACACTAGCGGGTGGTCTTCTTGACACTGATAGGAAATTCGCATATATGTAGATTGGGCGCACGAAAGAATAGAGACCAGGGTTGAGTCAATTAAGGTCTGCGGTCAGGAGACATTACACTTGGAGAGTCGCCAAGTTTTGCATGTAAGGGATGGAGGCCAGAGTGGAACTTTGAAGACCAATCCTCCCTCCATTACTCTGCGATCCACTGTTCTATCTGCACAAGTCTCAAATGGCCTAGAGACTGGATTATAATCAAATGATTACAACCCGTGTCACTGGGTACTGACTCTTTTGGTTGGCAGATGAGAAAGGTAGTCAGAGAAAGAAACCTGGGGAAAAGATGAGGCAAAAAACAAGAGTGGAGGAGTTAGTGGAAGAATGTACCTTTCCAAAAGGAACAAAAATAAATGAGTGTAGGAGTGATGGGGGAGGGGATATGCTTCTAGAAGGAGGGGTCTGAGCGCAAAATGTGAGACAACGTAACTGGTTTCTGATCCACTCTAGGAATCCACTATAGTTGAAGCAGAAAAATCAGGACAGGCTGGGCATGTAAAGAGACTGGAAAAGCAACACTTCACATCAAGACCTTAGAGCCTAATAAGGGACTTTGAACTTGATCTTGGTGACAACAGGAACCCCTGAAAAGTTTTAAGCTGGGAAACATACTGGTCAACGTTTGGGGGAAGGTTGCCTTGGTTGAGGTGTGTGTTTTAGAAACTGGTGGGTAATAAGACAATAAGAAGGAGCACTGTGAAGAAAGTGTTGCTACAGCTTAACTGGCAGTAAGACTGTCTGTCCCCTTGAGCTAATGGACTACCCATGTGTTAGCTCATGCTTGGTTAGTGTTAAATAAACAACACTTGAATTTTCCAAAGAGAAAAATGGATGTCTCTCTTACAAGTTTTGTCATAATGTATAAAATTTGTGTGCTGTTATTTTTGCTGACATCGCACTTTTATACCATTTTTATTTTTTGAGTGTCAATGTAAGTCTTCAACATTTTGTCCTACAGTTGCTTCTCCCTGGTAGCACGGTTAAGCTAGTAGTATAGAACTTGATGTATTCAGATGTATTTCAGTTGCTTAAATAAGAGCTATACAGTCAAATTGTCAAACAAAAGGACAAAACTATTTAGAAGAGGATAGTTCTGAAAGTATTGACACATGTCTTTGTTTTCTTGCACTAGCATAGAACATACTAAATGGATCATGTAAGAAAATTGTGTTAAAATGGGATATTAGTTATAGGAGAGAGTGGAGTAGAGAATTGTGTACTAAAGTCTGGTCATTATGAGACTTTAAATACATGTTTTTACAAAGCATTTGCATTTCAAACCAAAAATAAGCTACACCCCTATTAAGTATGTATGTTTATATAATATACACATTAAATACATATAGAGATATCTACATAAACATATATACTCATAGTATGTATTATACATGCAATATATTAAAATTTGCAATTAGGATTTAATGAACCATGAGATAATGCCAAACATGAAAGTGACCTGCCCCAGTTGGACATTTTCTATGACCTACGTGCAAATAGGTGTTAAGACTTATCACCGAATCTGCCTTTAGAACATTCTGTGTGTTGGAAATGAGGAGAGAAGGAGGGATATTGTGCAGGAGCAGAGACCATTAGGAGGCTAGAAGTACTATTTCCAGTATGAAGAAACTTTGACATGTGACCTACATGTTAGGACTCAGGATTCTTCCCTATGGCAAGAGTTATTTGTTTTCAGTGGCCAGCAGAACCCCTATCAGTCACTGAGCTGGAAACACAGAGGTTTCCTCAGCCAATGCCTTTCTCTTGGAAGCCACCAGGATATGTTCTACTTCATACTGATGCCTCCTTAGACCCACAAGGGAAGACTTAATTGTGAGGGGTTCCTCAAGGTATGCAAGAGAAGAGCTGATCCTACCCCAGTGGTCCCAGGCAGACCTAGTTGAGGAGCAGAAAGATCAATAAAAGCCTTCACGCTCCTGCCCTTTCCCAGGAAATGACTCACTATCCTTCACATCACAGGAGCCAGAAGCTAAGTCACCCTTGCTTGGCTTTTGGTCTTTCTGTCCCATTTGCTCTATTTCCTTGTCTCCTACACCTCCAATTATATACCCACTACTGTCAAGTCCATCATATTAATTAGTTCTAAAAATCATTTATAACAGGTACAACAAAGGAACTTTTACAATAATTTTTGAACACAATGCTATAAATTATGGTACAAAAATAAACGGATCTAATCTTATGTTTATGTTTTAAGGTGCACAACTATAGATTGAACAGGGGGCAGAAAGCAACCAGAAGACTCATGCCGCAGAAAAGTCATGATTCATTTGGAAGAGCTTAGCACTGTGACACAGCTAAGCAAGGGGTATTTCTCACCGATTAAGGTTCTCAGGGATCTTAAACCCTTTCTCAGGATAGACAATGAGTCACAGCAGGTGGACCAACATACTCAAAGGCTGTGGTAGAATGTAGGTTTTCAATGGTGACATCAGTGGCAACAAGAAGAATCTGTCATGAAATGTAGATTTAATTGCTGGTTCCACATGATGGAAGGGAAGAAGGATGAATTGTCTTCCATAGGGACTGTGTAAACCCTCTTTGTTTTAGGAGAGTTTAAGATGGAAAGAGAGGAAGTGAACCTCAATTTCTGCTAACAGAAGACAAATGACAGTGGCTTATAGGTGGACACCTGGATTCACTACTCCAGTGCTGTGTATCTTTCAATATTGTGTTTCATTTCTTTAAAACAAGGACTATAAGAAAGTATACCTCATGTGTTTGTTCTGATGACTACATGATTTGTATGAATTTAAATTGCTTAAATCCTAGAACTCTACCTCATGTATGGACTATGCATACATATATGCATTGTTTGTAGATGCTGAAATATTACTCTCCCTCTTAAGAGCCCTTAGCAGGGATTCTCCCCTTTCAGAATAAGTTCCGTGCTCCATTATCTGACACTCAGAGTCAAATAAATTCTGATTCCTGCTCCATACAAATTTTGTGCCATTTGGTCAGACAGCATAAGGCACTTGTGCTTCCTAGAAAGTCCAGCTATGCAGCACATCAATCAATCCTTCCCCATCCAAAACTAGAGATATTCCATCATTAACTCTGTTTAGATATTTGAGTTAACCACCACCTCAAGCATCCTTTACTAATGCTCTCAAAGCATATAGTATGAATATTTTATATAAAATGTATATTCTACAGAATACTAATAAGTCTTTTATTTTTATCTTCCTTTACCCAACCTATGGGATAGTATCCAGAACATATAGATAACTCTGGCATGCAACAGGATTTTTTAAACTTAATTTTAATTAATTTTTATTTGACTTTATACTCAGGAATTTATTTTCCATATCCTATGTACCAAAATCCAAAGTTTGCACTCATTATGGCACTTAGATGTCTATGGTCAGTTTGAATAACTAATAAAGTGATGCATACCAAAGACAGTTTGATTGGTACAGGAAGAGACATCAGGGAAAGTCAACTTCGTTATGCCTTGAAATATCTCTACAAGGGAATGATTCCCAGAAGCAGAGCAGTTTCTCACAGATATCTTTATATTGACTTTTTACCACTCTCCCATCATTGCTTAATTTGGATTCTATGTAAGAACATCAGGAGAAAGCATTTATGCTATTGAATCCTTATGAGGAAATTTTTGTTATTATAGACATTATTTAGTATTTTATTTCTGCTACACAAAAACTCTGTGGTGACCTCCTAGGAATAAGTAGAAGCAAATTTGGAAACTTGACAAACATATAATAAGAATAAAGACTAAGTTTCGATTGGACACAACCAAAGCTGTTTACTGTTTCTGGAGTGTTTTGTGAGCAGGGCTTCCATTCTCTGTGCAGTCTACATTTGCACACTTTCTTTGGATCTTATATGATAAGAACAAGACTCTGTATGCTTAGCACTTAGCACATCAGGAGGCAACTAATTCTTTGTCCCGAGGACTATTCTCTGCATTGTGGGAGCTTCAATAACATTTCCAAGTTGTGATATAGGTAGCATCACCACCCAAACACAAAGACCAAATGTTTACAGACACAGATAAATGATCCTTGGGAGGAAACACTCCAGCCTGGGAAATGCTTATCCAAAAGAAGATTCAGTAAAAATTTTGCAGCACATGATAATGAATGGGAAGTCAATCTACAGATAAGTATCTATGTTTTAAGTAGGCTGGTGCTTATTAGATAGGAGTCAACATCATTTTATCTTGAATACTGAAGAAACGGCTTTCTTCCTTTAGACAAGGTACTTGCTTAATCAATTTTCCTCATTCACTTATGTTTCTAAGGTATGTACATCAATATTTAATCTATGAGTGTGTGTATATTTGCCATGAGGAAAATTATTTGATAGATGTGCAAGAATAAGTTTAGTGAAAACATGTTCATCATCTTACACTTAACTTACCTAGTATAGATATCCCAGGCATTTCCCACTACACTGAGAGCAGGGATCTTGCATATAGTTCTGCTTGCCTTGTGGTACCAG